GAAAGAGTGACAATTTGTCACAATGCCGATTAACTTCGTTATTATTGGCAGCAAACACAGCACGTTTATCTTACTTAACAGCGTTCTTCTACTTTCAAAAACATAAAACAGCAACAAAAAGAGGAGATAAAACGGAGGCAGTTTAATTAATTTTCATATATTAATAATATGCAAATAAAATCCTGATGCTCAAAAATGAGTCACTGAAAAATGGAGTGCTGATGTACATTTGACTTGAAAGAACACATGGATTTACGTGATGCAAATATTATCCCTATAAATACTTGAATATAAATAAGTGGAAGTCAACAGCGATATCCTCATTAAAAATCAACCCCCGATTTTTTACATTGGTGCTCTGTTTTCTGTTGAGCTGGCCACAGAAAAATTATTTTAATCTGCAAACTGTGGCAATTCTGTAAAACTACAACTTGTGCTCCTGAGGGTTCCTTTTTTTAACACCTCTCTATAATCTGCCCAGCCTGCTGAGTAGCATTGACATCAGTAGTACATCAATTTCAGAAAGTGGATTATTTTTACTAGACAGCTATTGTGACATATTGGGTCAGTCATAAATGAAAGATATTCATGCAAGCATGCAATACTTGTAATGAAGTCTCACTCTGACCTTCTGTATGATTGATTCTGTAATTTAGTTTTCTCAGGCAGTGCCTGAAATGAAATGAAATCATGTTGAACAAGTTTTGAATACCCACAGTGCACCAGGAGAAGAAAAATCTGCAGCCCCAGAGGCTTGAGAGAGAGCAGCTGAACGATTTATCTCCATGCTATTATAGCCTTTGCCAGCATTCAACATTTCTTTTTTTTTTTTTTTTTTTTTTTCTTATTTGGCTTAAGTACTTAATTCTGCAGGTAGCTGTAAATGGGAAAATAAAATGCTGTTCAGATTTAAAATGACAGGACAGGAGTATGTGCAGGGGACTGATAAAATATCTTGAATAGAACTGACCTTTCATGTAGCTGAAAGTTACTGGGGGATTCATCCTCATAATTACCATATAGATTATTTTTATTTCTTTCCTGCAATGAAACATTTCAGAGAGCAGTAGTGCTGATTGAATGAAAATTGAACTTGTTAACATTCTTTTCAGCTTAGCCTGTTGTACATAACAGAAGGTTAGCTTTGATGAATTTCAAAATTCTCTTTCTGATATCTAAGAAACAGACAGTAAAATAATTGTCTCTTTTCAGTCTGATTTTTTTCTTTTATTCCAAAAAGTACAGCTGTTCCAGAAACAGACTGATAATTTTACATATATTGCTCCCTATATTACATATGCTGCTAGAGAAAACGTGTTCCCTATTTGATGAAGATTTGAGCTGGTTTATGTTTTGTAATTGTTGCAGTGCTGCCAGTGCATTCAGGATTCTGCACAGATAAGGCTAATTCATAGTGGAATACGCTCGTCCTTAATTACGTTGCTACTTAAGAGTGGCACTGTGCTCAAATCAAAGGCATGATGGTGACTATTGCTTTTATTTCAAGAAAAGACTTTTTAAATATCCAGCTCAATGATGTGGCTTTGAAGACCCGAGTTGCAAATTTGAGCTTATTGAAGGCTGCATACAACAAATAGTATTAATGTTTCAAAACAGTGGTGCCTTTTACGTCAAGGTCTAAATCTTTTTCAGTAATTTAAATTCCCAAATTACTAATTAACTGTTAATGAATAGATTAACAGAAAATTGCAAGAAGAAAAGCTTAAAATGTTGCTTTAAAATTGGCAAAACCCAGTTATTTCACTACTCACCTGACTGTGTGCCTCTAGTTTATATGTTCAATTTTACTTTGCAAAGAAACTTATTTGTAAATCTCACTTTTAGTATCCAGTCTGTAATCTCCTATCTAGAGAGAATGGAGTAGGTTTTCAATTAATACAATGTTATAACAACATCGTTTAATGCGTTGCAGATGAAGCAGTTATTTCATGGGTCATTAATGTGTTTAACACCTGGAACGGTCTATTAAAACAAGCCCTTGTTATTGTTACGAACATGTTTATTGTCATCTTCAATAGAAAACATACAACTAATTCCAGAAGGTTTTAATTATACATTTATATGAGTAGCAACAATTCTTACTAGAGATCGAGATTATCTTCAGGGTTTTCTTATTTCTACTTTCTCCTTGATTACTGTGGTGGATTACTAAACTCAGGTTTTAGATCAGCAGTGTTAGGCTGGTTCGTATCGGACCTTCCCCGTGCAAAGGGTAGCCGTTACCGCCTCTGGTTTTACCAACTCGTGTTGCCAAGAAAAATTGATCTCAGAACTAAGTAATCCCAAATTAAACGATGCTCTGGCGGCTCCGATCAGTGACGTTTGGCTGTACACAGGACCTTTCACGTGGTGGCGGACGCTTTGTAAAACCAGACCTTGGGGACTCGGTTGGGACTTCCAGCTCCCGTGCCCGCCATGAGCTCAGCGCTGGTTCCTGCCTGCAGAGCTGAGCTGCGTGCTTTGCCGATGAGCTTTCAAGCCTTTACAGGGTCCTTTTTTTTGTTTGTTTGTTTTTTGACTGGTGTATAGTTACATATTTTGTTTTATGTCTAGGGATGCAGTTGTGCACTTTTTTAGTTACCTTTCAGAGAGCGTGTGTGCACAGCCCGGTGCGCCTGGCGGGAAGGCGGGCAATGGGCTGAAGACCCTGGAGGCAACAGGCAGCGGTGGCTTCTGCACAGAAGCTGCATGCTCTGCCTTTAACGTGGTACGCAGACGGTGCTAGCCGGATGGTGTACTAAATAATAGGGTTTTCATAGCGTGTGGATTTTCATGTCCTCAGTGACATTGTAATACTCGGTGTGGGTAATATAATCACTTTTCTGAGAGACATGCTCTTCCCTTCTTTCTCATCCATAGAGTCTGTTAATGAGCTGGTATGGCTGAAGAAGGAAACGTATTTTGGTGTTCTTTTCAAAAAACAGGCAACTCATTCCTTCATAAGAAAGGACCTGTCCATAGGAAACAGTGGCAGCAGTTGCTGAAGACACCTATGTGAATAGCAGGTACTGCTGCTGCTAAAAAACAAAAATAATTTCAAAAATAGATGTAAGTAGGTTATTACCTACTTGTTGAGAACATGAGGGACTTTAGCACGAAAGTTGGCAGAACACTCTGCGAAAACAGATGTGACTGTTTTGTATTAATAATGCCTAACTCAAGATCCATCAGCTCCAGAAAATATTGTGAGGTGCCGTAAGAATATGTGGAAAATGATACACCCCACTGGGGAAGCTGTTGGGAATTGGAGTGGAAGCTGAACCTCCGGTACTCCTAAGAACCGAGCTCAGAAGGAACGCGGACGTATGTGCCCATGGACGCCAGCTGTGCATTAAGCCTGGGCCATGGCTTTAAACTCTTCTGCCTCCTGAGTTGAAACTCTAAAATCAGGTGCCGCTTGCTTAAGCCAGCCAAATGAGGCAGGTGCTGCAGCTGGTCTGGATTATGTTGTACCTGGCCAAAGGCTTTGTTGGGTCCTTGTTCCTGGGTCGTTTGAAAACTTCCTTTGAAATTCCTGCTCCTCTCTGCTGTTACCAGCTGCATCATTTCCCCTTGGACAGCTTACCCAGTACTCAGCTTCCACTTCAAGTTCTCAAGCTGTAACTAAACGCTAAGTCTCTGTAAGAGTTTTAAATTGTTCTGTGTTGTCAGGTAGCTGGAAGAAAAAATACCCGGCTCTGGTAACAAAAGATAATGAGACTTACTGTTCCGATTTGCTTTAAAAACCAACAACCACCAAACAAAAAACTCCAACCCTCCCAAAAACCCAAAGAAAAAATATAGCCCCCAGAGCATAGCTACCAACACTTGTAGCAAATTTTTAAACAAACAAATGCCATGTAACCCCCAAGTCTGTCCCCCCAATTCCTTGCACAATTTTTGTTACCTTTGATAACATTTGTTAGTTGTCGTCGTTCCTTGCAGCCTCTCCCCACGTTGCTTGCTGCATAAGAAGGACCTTTGAAGTCTGCCTTTGATTTGGTCGCTGAAGCACCTGAAGTTGTAACAGAACTGCTAACAGCATTTATCGGCCGTTCTGCGACTTAGTTTTGCCTCCCCAGGGCGTCTGCAGCGTGCCTCCGCTGTTGGCATGCAGCAGACCCGGGCTCCTGCTGCGGACTTGGAGAGAAGCTCCTCGTGCCGACGGGCGCACCAGATGAGAGCCCGGATCTGTGCGCTGAGTCACACGTGTGTTGTGGTCACGCTGTTGGGTGCCTTGTCCAAAAGGAGTGAGAGTCAGCATGCTTTAAAGTATGGTAGATGTCTGGGGAGAAGAGAGTGGAGAATCTGTTTTTAAATGCCTCTACAAAATGGCGTAAAGATTAAATGATAAAGAAATTGTGCATTAGGCGATGCTAAAGCATCGGTAGCAGCTACTGTGGGTGGGTGGAGGGCTATAGCAGGCCTGTGGTGCCGTCCACCGGCAAGAGCAGACACTTTTCCAGAGCAGGACCCCATGGCAACCAAGGCAGCCAAGAAGCATTACCCCTTCAGCCCACTTTGGGGGCTGCATGAGGACCCTATGGGGTCACGGGATAGTAAACGGGTAAGAACAAAGCTCCCAAACAGCAAGCGCCCCATGCGAGGGTGGCGGGGCATCTGCGGTGGGAATTACAAGCTATTCAGAGAAATGCCTTCGTCTCTTAGTTCGGTAGTTGTGTGATTTTTGTCCTAGCTATGAGCTTTTAGTACTTCTTTGCCACGCAGCGCAGCATT